CTGATTCCTAACGGATACGTAGGAAACCATACTTCGAGGTGTGACCGTAATAAAAATACATTCACATTCACACATCATGATCACATCAAGGGATATCCTATGCTCATCCCTATCTACTTAGAGCTAGACTTGGGGGCTTGATCCTTACATCATTAGCTTACCTAGCCTAAGAGTCACCATTTTTTAACTCTTCTCTATAAACTTTTCCATAAACTTAGCCCTTGCGGCCTAACTTTAGTGTCACTATCACACACATCACGGATACATGACCAAATATACTTCCCTTAGGAACCCTTTGTCATGAAATCTTAACATAACGCTGAAGCATGCCTTGTCATATCAAAATAACTCATCACTTGTAATCGTTATCGCATCACGAAGTATGAAGTGCTTAGCCTCCGTGCCTAAGTTACCTGCATACTTTCATTATTGAGTCAACTAGGATAGCCTAGGATGAATTAACCTTTGCACCATGAGAGACAACATCAAACGCATATACTTAGCTAAGCTCATTCAACATGCACCTTCAAAAAATTCTCTTCTTGCTTTCTTCGCGTCTTTCTTTTTTGGGAGAAAGTCGGTACCCTCCACAAAAATGACGGAATTTTTTTTCTTTTTCGCATTTTGAGTCAAGCACATCACAATACAACGCACACACGAGCCATGAGTCACACGTGTCAATTCACCTTGGGTCAACCTCAAGTCAGTCAGTCATGTTGAGTCAACCTCAAGTCTGTCAGTCACGTTGAGTCAACCTCAAGTCAGCCAGTCACGTTGAGTCAATCACCTTAGGTCAACCCTAAGAAAAAAAATCAAGCCTTAGGTCAACCCTAAGAAAAGCACTAGCAAAGTCTTTTGACAATCTTTTGATTTTTACAGGATACAACTATTCAGTAAAGCTCCTGTTCGCAGCCAACCGAACGATCGCAACAAACATTCAAGTATCATATCATTCAAAAAGCTCTTTGTTCAGAGACGCGTTGACATACCATCAAAGCTCTTTTGTTCAAAGACGCGTTCACATATCATCAAAGCTCTTTTGTTCATAGACACGTGGACATGTCAAAGCTCTTTTGTTTAGAGACGCGTGAACATATAAAAAAAAGCTCTATTTCTCAGAGACGAGTGAACATCAAAACAACAAGATGGTGTTCCCTAGCTTGTGGAAAGTTGTCACAACTGCAAACACAACAAATCGGTTACTAAAGAGACGTGTGCTCGACAGTGCAAGATACGCGTTTCTTAACTTTTATCTATTTAACTAATGGTAGTTTGCAGGTATCGGCGTTACAAGAACGATTTAGGATCGCAGAACGTTCTGAATCATTCTCCATCCCTATTGATACTTTGACTTTTGTTTTCGAAACTTGCGTTTCTCCAAACTCAGTCAAAGTGGGGGCTCCTATAGACACCCAAATATGTCTCCCCAAAACCAAACCCAGTGATGAATACCATTCATGTCATTTGATTATCGAACAAAGCGATAGTGTGAAAAGTATGATGAGGATGTTTTTATTAAAGTATCTATTCTTTCAGTTTTTTAAAATATTTCTTTTCTTACCCTATTTATGAAAAACGTACATTCTAGTTTATTTTGGTCCATGATATGGGTCCAATAATAGTGTAGTTGTATGGGTCTTGAAAAAACATTTCCAACGATATATTATAAACCCAATTCCGATGAATAATGAGGAAGCTATGGCCAAAATACTAAATTGGGCCCGGTTTGATCTTTATATGCGGCTCAATGATCTAGAGGAGGGCCTATTATGATTTATCATTCCTAATGCAATTAGGATTGATTATAGTCTTCTAGAATATTCTAGAAGGTTATCATAAATCCTAATGGAGTTAGGATTGATAATTATGTTTCAAAATGTTTGAAATTAAATAAAACTACTCCTTTTAAGAATCCTTATTTTGTACGAAGTGGAATATATTCAAATATTATTTTCGTGCCTCACAATCTTTATCCAAATTTTATATAGTTGGATAAATTTTGAAATTATATTTCCAATGATATATTATAATATTAAATCCAAGCTATAACGAAAAAGATATGATTGGAATGTGAAACTCTATCCAAAACTGAAACTGTTCTACTATTTCAGATATATCTTTTTATCTACAAATGTTTTTTTATCTGATTCTAATTGGGTTGAAAAGTAGACTTCAGGTTCTTTCCAAAGACATATTATATGCTTTATTTGGTCTTCTGGATCAAAAGATATAATAAAAACAAACTCCGCAAAAAACTGTTGTCCATCGAGTTTTATTTCGATTCGAATTCAGATTCTTTTCTTATTCTTCGACCCTCTTTTTTCTCTATAAATAGAGGTCATATCTCCCCTTTTTCAAATCACCGATGCTAACCAACTCTCACCTAGAATTTCTAGATTTTCTCTCCCTCTTTCTAGCCTAGCCTTTTACAAACAAAATTTCTCATACATTAGCACTAGACACACCCAACCAAGTTCGAAGTTGCCTTCGCCCTAGACGTGAAAGGTTTGATATTTCTGAGGGTTTAGTCCCAAGTCTCTATTTCAATTATTTAATTTATTTTCTTGATTATTATATTTCCCTTGAAGTTACTAAAATTGTTTAATTGAAATTATGATATAGAAATCATGCTTAGATTGTTATTTTGATTCCTAGTATTATGTTAGGATGGTTTTCTTAGTATCATGTTTAGGGTAATAACTAAAAATTCCTAATATCAATTATGATTAAAAGAATGCTTCCTATTTCTTTCCTAATATCATGTTAGTATCATGCTAGGGCTATATATTTGATCTTTGATTGTTTAGTGACATGCTAGGGTTTGTTATTAATGTTGTTAGTATCATGACTAGGATCTCGCTATTATTATGTTTTAACATGATTATTTTATTGATGATTATTACGATTATTATTATTATTATTATTAGTATTATAATAATAATAATAATAATAATAATAATAATAATAATAATTATTACTATTATTATTATTATTATTATTATTATTATTATGTTGCATTATATTTTTATTTATTGTTATTGCTTGATCACACCTTTTATGAATGTTTAAAAGGAATTGGTACTTGTAATCACGCTTAATAAGATAATTAATAATCTTATTTAGGGTTAACATGATTATAATTCAAGTGATCGCCAATAATAGTATTTTTTGTGCATTAATATTCAAACAACATAGATTAAACAGGTTTAGGGTAAACCTATTGATTGCATGTTAGTCAGAAATCGCACATGAATACGAGAAGTATAAAGTAGAGGCCTGTTATTAGGGCCGGTTCTTTCTCTTTTAGATCGGATTTGTACCTTCATCTTTGAACTTCCAGTCTTGGTTCCAGACCTATTGGAGTTGACGATCTCTTGGATCGTTAAGGGGTGTAACCTACACCCTGTGAATGGTTTACAAGTTCCTAAAACTTGTTGGCGACTCTTTTGCTCTAGCTTCCTTCCCTTTGGACGCCACCATGCTTAAGTGTATGATCAAAGTGGAGTTTTAGTTTGGGGGAATGCTTGAAATATTCCATACTAACCCGGTAATCAAGAGCCAATAAAACACCACCTAAGCATTTTAGCAGAGAGACTAGTGGGAGCCAACAGATCATCGGCAGCAAAAATAAGAGCAAAATAATAGTAGTACTTTTTTAGGGGCAAAAAAGTCACCACACTATTATTAAGGGAGATCCAACTTTGCCAATTCTCACTTTTAAATTGTAATAGTTATATATTGGTCCACACACATCATATATATGACTTCCAAAAGGTCAATAGCTCCTTCACCCTTTCATCTAAAAGGTAACTTGGTCATCTTACCTTATCAAGCATGATTTTTAATTCTCAAGTGATTCATAATCAAATAAGAATAAGAGTCCTTCCATTTGTGACTTTAGATGTTGTAGACACTTGATTGTGTCTCCCCAAATACCAAACCCAGTGATAAATATCTTTTACGTCATTGATTACTGAACGAGGTGAAATGTGAGAGATTCTCGTAATGCACCTGTTTTTGATAAAAAATACTTCTTTCTTTTTTCAAAAATATTTCTTTTCGTACCTTATTGATGAAAAATATCCATACCAATTTAGTTTATTCCATCATATGGGACCAATAATAGTGTATTTGGATAGGGTTTGGAGTTTTCCAATGATATATTATAAGCCCAATTCCAATAATTAATGAGGAAGTTATGGTCAAAATACTAAATTGGGCCCAAAACAATTTTATATAGCACAATGATCAAGTGGAGGGCCCATTATTATTATTCCCTAAATTATTAGAAATTTCTTTAATTTTCTAAAGTAATCTAGAATGTTATTTTTAATTCTAATAGGATTAGGCTTAATAATTGTACTTTTATATTATTTAGAAAAGATAAAGAATCAATTTGAAATAAAACAAGTGTTTTAAAACGATAAAGCTGATTTTAATTAAGATAATTACGGAGTTTAATTACCTAATTATATTAGGAAAAAGACTTTGTACAGGATTTTTATCCTGATTGCGCCATCACAATAGGGTTTGTCGCGTCATGATAGCTCTATCGAGTCGCGATAAGGCTTGTTTTACTTTGAGTCAAATTCTGACTCTTTTCAAAGCGTTTCAGATGTTTTCTCTATAAGTAGGGGCGTAATTTCCCCATTTTCAATCATCAACAATCATCTATTCTATTCTTTCACTCTCAAAGCTAGAAGCTTATTCTTTCTCCCTCTTTTTTTTTTTTTTTTTTTTTTTTTTTTTGGAAAATATGAGAAATTTTATTACCAAAAGGAAAAGTTACAACCTATAAAAGCTAAGTTATAACAAACACCAAACTCCACAAGACCTGAAAAAACAGGCCAACCAACCACCAAACAGTTCAAGCTCAATCTCCTGCCACCTTCTAGGAAGGGTTCAAGAGAAAGAGAAAAGAACAACCTGAGCTCAAGTTTCCACCCACCTTCTAGGAAGGGTTCTGGAAACTAAGCCCTCTGAATCCAAATACCATATACTGTTTCAGTGAAGGCTACATGGATCACTTTGTTTTTCAATCTGGAACTTCTGCAGATTTTCTTCAACCATTCAATCTCATCACCAAACTGCTGAACAGGCTTGGAAACATGTAAGATACTCAACACCTTGTTCCAAACCTGCCTAGAGTACTCACAATCAAAGAATAAGTGCTGAACACTTTCATTGCTATTCAAGCACAAGAAACACCTTGGATCACAAGAAATGTGCTAATGTAGCAACCTATCCTTATTGACAAGCCTATCCCACAAATCTAGCCACAAGATAAATACACTTTTAGGGGTTGCTAAGTTATGACAAATGACCCTCTTCCAAGGAACCTTAGGAACTTGAGGCCTAATAGCAGCATAAAGCTTCTTGATTTTCATCTTGTTGCCCTGTATGAAACCATCCCATCCCCCTTGATCATTCACAATATCTCTACAACTCAGAATCTTCTTCAAAAACTAAGAGCATTTGGCAGGGGTAGGAGTGGTCCAACAATTTTTATGCTTGAAATAATAGATATGGACCCACTTAACCCAAAGATTATCGGCCTTGTGAGCAATATCCCAAAGTAACTTAGTGACAACTGATTAATTCCACTCAGGAAGAGAAAGCAAGTTCCAGCCACCACAGACTTTAGGAAGACAGACATAATTCCAAGCAACCAAAGATTTCTTAGCAGGGGCAGAGGATCCAGTCCAAAGAAAGCACCTGAATCTAGCCTCAATCTCTTTCAGAATTTTCTTTAGCAAGATAAAAATTTGAGCCCAATATGTCTTTAATACCAAACAATACACTCTTCACCAACTGAAGCCTCCCAGCATAGAACAAGTGTTTAGCCATCCACCCTTGGATTCTAGCAGTCACCTTCTCCACCAAAGGCCTACACTGAGCAATAGTAAGCTTCTTAGAAGAGAGAGGGACCCCAAGATACCTAAAAAGAATAGTGCCTTGAGAAACACCAAGAAGCTCTCTCAGCTCTGTCTGAACATCAACAGAAACTCCTCCAAGATAGACTTCACTTTTATCAAGATTAGCAGAAAGCCTGGAAGCACCCGAGAATTTCAAGAAGGCTTGGAAGAAAAGCTTCACAGAAACACTATCAGCTCTAGAAAACATCAATAGATCATCAGCAAACATCATGTGAGTTAGGTTTAACTTTTCACACCTAGGATGAAAGTTAAAATCAGGAGTTAACCTAAGCTCATCAAGGCACCTGGAAAGGTATTCCATACGAATAGAAAAAACAAAGGGAGACATAGGGTCACCTTGTCTTAAACCTTTCTTAGCTTCAAAAGGAGGGGCAGGAAAACCATTAATAAGAACAGAATAAGAGACAGAAGTAAGACAAGTCCAGACCCAGCTAACAAATCTCTGAGGGAAACCAAGCTCCTGCATAATAGTAATTAAGAATCCCCACTCAACTGAATCATAGGCTTTCTTCAAATCCACCTTAACCATGCATCTAGGTGAGATAAATTTGTGATCATAGCCTTTGATAAATTTAGTTGCAAGAAGGATATTGTCACCAATGTGCTTGACTGGAATAAAACCTGCTTGGGCATCATCAATGACCTCACCAATGATAGCAACAAGTCTAGCAGTTATGACCTTAGAAATGAGCTTATAAACCACAATGCAACAAGCTATAGGTCTAAAATCCCTAACATGGGAAGCATTAGGGATTTTAGGAACAAGGGTGATAGTTGTGCAATTCCATTGCTTAGGCAAGGTCCCTTTAGTAAATAAATCAATAACACTAGCATAAATATCATCTTTCACAATATGCCAAGCTCTCTTAAAGAAAAAGGAGTTAAAGCCATCAACACCAGGAGCTTTAGTGTTATCAATTCCCTTAAGGGCAGCATCAATTTCAGCATGAGAAACAGGTTGAATGAGATAACTCTAAGCAAAAGAGCTAAGCTGTTTACCCCTCCTCATAGTAACAAGGTCAACATCAGGAAGCCAAGGAGCCTGAGTCCCTAAAAAAGACTTATAGAAGAAGATAACTTCATGAGAAATAGCATCCGGATCCTTAAGCAAAACCTGGTTAGAGTCAAAGATGGAGTCAATTCTATTCCTTGCTTGTCTATTCTTCATCAGTGAGAAAAAATAATGAGAATTTCCATCTCCAAGCTTAATCCAGTTGATCCTAGATTTTTGTTTGAAGATGCTTTCCTGAATATCATTCCGGTGTTTGACAACCTTAATAGCATCATATTCTTTAGCATATAAATCCAAATCATTAGGATTCTGAGCCATTAAGTTCTGAATTCCAGCAAGCTCAACATTAGCTTGATTAATCTTATCCTCAATGTTGCCAAACTGCTTGCTATTAAGAGACTTGATACTAGAATTCACATAATTAAGCTTCTTCCAAACAGAACTACCAGAACCCCAAGCCTGAGAAACAGTATCAAGGAAATCAGGATGATCAGCAATACAGTTTAGAAACTTGAAAGGTCTACCTCTCACAGCAGGGGTAGAACAAATATCCAACAGAACTGGACTGTGATCAGATAAAGAAGGGGGGAGATAGACAGTCTCAACATGCCCATGAGAGGCCAGCCAAGCTTGTTTACCAAAGACTCTATCAATCCTAGAAAGAGTTCTAGGACCAGTGTGAGCCTTATTTGACCAAGAGTAGAAGGCTCCTTTGCTCTTGACCTTAGTGAGGTCCAAATCATCAACCAAACTCTGGAAATCTCTAGTATCATAATCAGTAACATTAGTACCATGAAGCCTATCTGAAGTATGAAGAACAGAGTTAAAGTCACCAGCACAAAGCCAAGGAGAATGCTGAATAGAGATGTTCCTAATTCCTTCCCACATAGGAAGCCTATCATGAATAGAGTGAAGCCCATAGACAACAGTGAGATGAATTTGAGTAGAAAGACCCTTAGAAGAGACACTACAATGAATAAATTGTTCATGAATCTTCAAGACATTGATAGTTACTCTATCTGCATTCCAACCAAGACAAATCCTCCCTTTGGGAGAATGATCATAATTGCACATCCAAAGCCAAGTAGAGCCAAACTTCTTCTACTAATTGAGAACATTTTTTGATTTGATTTTTGTTTCAAGAAGACCAATAACATCAACTGAATGAGAATGAAGCAACCTCCTTACAGAGGTAACCTTGCCAGGGTCATTCAGGCCCCTGACATTCCACATAGAGTAAATCATAACACCAAAGGGGGATTAACCTCACCCCCACTTGGATTTATCGTGAAACCACCTGCACCATCCATTTCCTTTGAAAATAGAGCAACAAAAGCATTAGAGGTAGAAGCAGGCTGATTGACCCTAGTTTGCTAGCTTTTTGTCTTCTTTCCCACTATTCTCCACCCCTCATCTGAGTTTTGAGAAGTATGAACCTGTGGGGTGATAACAGAATGCCCATGAACAGAAACATCAACATCAACAACAAGAGGAGCTTGACTAGGCTTAGCAACCCAGACTTGCTGCACTTTAGGAGCTGCATTTACTGACTACTTGGGAGCTGCATCCACCGAATGCTTAGGAGCTGATGGCACTTTAACAGAACAATCATGGCCCACTTTATTACACTTAGAGCAAAAGGGTGGAGTCCATTCATAAACTACCTTGAGTTCTAGAATTTCCTTCGAGGGGCTTTCCACAAACATAGACTTAGGCAATGGCTTGGTAATATCAATTTCTATTAGAACTCTAACAAAGAAACTCTTAGTTGTCTTGTAGTACATTCATCAGAGCAAATTGGTACACCAAGAAAACTACCAATACGACTAAGAGTTTCAGGACCCCAGCAATAAAGGTAAGTTTGGGAACTTAACGTACAAAGGAATAGTTCTCAAAATCTCCGCACCAAAATCAAATTTAGGACTCCAAGGTTTAATGATTGCTGGCTTTCCCATGAACATTTGCGGACCAGAACAAAGAATAGTATCCTTATCACTAATTGAGCAACAATTTATGATAAAATACCCATCATCATGCCAAAAAATTTTTGGTTTTTGCACATCACACCATTGTTAAACTATGAAACGATGAACAACAGCAATAGTAGGGTAATGACCAAAAACATAAAAAACTAAAGAATTAGACCATTTCCTATTACCTTCCACGAGTTCTGACTCCTTAAGCTGAGCAACCTGCTTCCCATTCTGAACAATCGGTGCAACGAAGAACAGAGGAGCTCCCTTAGCAGCTAACTTCCCTGAGAAAGAGCTCCAATCTTTACCATCCTTACGTGCGTTCTGTTCTGGGGGTGTTACAGTGTGAGAATCAGTGATAGCTGGTTCAGATCGATGAGCAGCCGCTTCAGCATCCAATGGAACAGTACAATTCGAAACCCTATGTACTATTTTATTGAAATTCGAAGATGTTGGTCTAGCAATGGATTCAGCAAATAAGGCAATGGTTTCAGCATCACTCCGGGGAATAGAACCACAGGCCGGATTGACCAATGTCGGCAACAGAGTGACAAGCTCGTCCACCTCCTAAATCAGGCTTGGAACAAAAGCTGTGCCTGAGTTCCGCAAATTCTGTAAAATTTCATCAGTAGAACTTCTAAGCTGTACTAATTGGGGTGTAGAGTTATTCTGCTTCTTCTTCTTAGCCATAGAAGCTCAAGATTGATGAAGAAACCAATCAAAATTGATTAACCATGGAGAAGAGGATGAAGAGAGAAAGTCACCGAAAGTCAACCCCAATGCATTTAGGAGGAACTATTCTTTCTCCCTCTTTCTAATTCTTTCTAAGCCTTCTCTTTTTCAAAATACAATGCTGCATTCACAAGTCTTAGACGCACCTTACCAAGCTCGAAGTTGCCTTCGCCCTAAACGTGAAAGGTTAATAATTTCTGAGGGTTTGGTCCTAAATCCCTATTTCAATTCTTTAAATTAATCTATTGTTTTAATATTTTCCTTGAATTTACTAACGTGTGTATTGTTTTGATAGAAAGAGATACGAGGCAACAAAGTGAGTATTTTCATTGCTCTATATCTTTAGAAAGTGTGCTTAGATTATTTTATGTTCTAGTATCAAGATAGGATGTTATTTATTGCTTTCTAATATCAGGCTTAGGTTGCTTCCTATTTTATTCTATCATGTTAGTATCATGTTAGAGTTAAAGCTGTGACCTTTAATGTTTAGTGACATGCTAGGGTTTGTTATTAATCTTGTTAGTATCTTGCATAGGATCTTGCTAATATTATATTATGCTTTGATTGAGATTAGTAACATGTTGATGATGATTTGTTGTTTTTATAATATTATGTTGCTCGATATATCATTGTTATTACTTGATCACACCCTCTCTTTCAGGTTCAAGGGAAATTTGTACTTGAAATAACGCTTAAGATAATTAATAATTTTATTTAGGCTCAAGTGATCGCCACTAATAGATTTGTTTGTACATTAATATTCAACCAAAATAGATTAAACAGGTTTAGGATTAATATATTGATTGTATGTTAATCAGAAAGAGCACATGAATATGAGAAGAATAAAGTAGAGGCGTATTTAGGGCAGGTTCAATCTTTTATAGATTTGATTTGTACCTTCATCCCCGAATATCCAGTCATGGTTCAGGACCGCTATGGAGTTAGAAATCTCATGTATCGTGAAGGAGTGTAACCTTCACCCTGTGAACGGTTTATATGTTCCTAAAACTTGTTGGCGACTCTTTTGCTCTAGCTTCCTTCCCTTTAGACGCCACCATAATTAAGTGTATGATAATTGTGGGGCTCAAGTGTGGGATGCTTGAAATTATTCCCAACAGTTTTTGACGACTTTACTAGTAAGGATTTCTATTTTAATTCCTAAAATTTATTTTGGCAATGATTTAGAATGAGTGGATGAGACTCGAAATGTTCTAAGTATTCATGTGCGTAATTTTGATTGACATTATTGGAATAAGAATAACAAAAAGGTCCGCATTGGATTGACGATCCGTATTGCATAAAAAACATAGGCTTTGAACACATAGGAAAATTAGGAAATATCTTTCACAACTGGAATTGAAAAAACGCTGTAAAAACTGGAAAATTCTAAGGACAAAGACAGCTGCTAAGGCATATAGGAAATCGGCACTGAGAAAACATTGCCCATCGCAGTGCGATGGCTTTGTCGCGACACGATAGAAATATTGCGGCGCGACATGGCTATCGTCTCCCGATGGTCCCTGTTGTCTTTCGCTATGTTCTTCTAATATCGAGCCAGAAATTTTCGTTCTTGCTTTGACCGGTTCTAGTATTGTTTGCTCGATTTTACTTCCTAGTTGATTTTTTTCTCACTTTTCTAAACTCGTATGTGCTCTTCATATGGCCATAACGCTCTGGGAATTCACACTCCTTCTACCCAATCGAACGGTCATTACAAAGAAAGGTACATCCGAGTTTTTGAATTCACCAAACCATGGAAACAAGTTGAAATTGTGGGGTCCCATCCATATGCACCAACCCTTCCAAAGGTAATGCTTCCACGCGATGCATCCGGAGTCATGACCATGGACCCTCTTTGACTAACCCTTATCCTTGAACTTTAGAGAACTAGAGCCATGGTTAGGTTGCAAACTCATTGCATCATATTGTGCTTACTTGACTATTTGTTCATTCTTGGTTGTACATAATATAAATATGTTTACACTAACCATATGTTTTACTTGTGTATAACTCTTAAACTAATTAATGATTATATAGGACTTTGCTTGATTAATTAATTATTTATTTAATTAATATGGTTAATTAAAATAAATTGACTAAATCTGATTTAATACGACTATAGGCTTTTCCTTTTAAGGTAGAACACTGGAAACAGTCCCGGGCCGACGTTTCAGTAATGACGCAAAGGTTTGACCTGTAGCACGACACGAAAGTGTCCATCGCGACTATAGGCTTGTCCAAGTTTTGAATTTGGGGGGTTTTTTATTCGGTCCATTATTCTTGAAATTGTTTGTTCTATGTTGTTATGCTATGTTTAATGAGTGTTTTGCAAAAGATTTCATGAAAAATGGTTAAGTATTGAACCTTATATGAGCATTTCTTTGTTAAGTGCGTTCTTGTAAATTTTCCTTTGAATTTAGTTCGAATTTGTTGTTTTGTTTACTCATTTTGGTTGTACTGTTGATTATGAAGTAAATTATAGTATTGGAACTAATTTTACCTTCATAAGTCATGTTTTTAAAATTTTGAATCCGAAAAATTGGCGCGAAGAATACTCTTAGCTAATTTTTGTCATTTCAAACTTCAAGATTGTTGTGTAGATGGTAAATATGTTTATGCTATCATTATTTGTCTAAAAGTAGTTGAGTATTTGATATTTAAGAATATAATCTCCTGAATGCTTTAGTTGAAACTGGTATAAAATGGCTTTTGTGGGTGTTAAAAGCCCTATTCACTGAGTTTAACTACAGGTATTGTAGTCCCCAAGTATGGGTGGCATTCAATTTTTTTGTTTTGCCCTCTCGGCAACCGTTATGCTGCCGAAAAGGGTGTAGAACACATATATTAGCTTATTTTAGCCTTAGAAAGAAAAATAAACTACTACTTTTGCTTCTTATTATGTGCAACAAAGGGGTATTATTTGTGAGACATAAAATATTCCTTTGTTGTACATAATAAGAAACGAAGGTAGTAATAAGGAACTTTATCCGTTTATAGTACGGATTCCTCTCCGTTCGTTGATGCCGAAGAGGATCTAGGAGGTCTTGTACCTAACGAGGTAGTTCGCCCTCGAAAGAGGGTGAAACGTCCTCGTGAAGAGGTTCAGGAGCGACGCGTCAGAGTTGATTAATGTCGCCAGGAGGATGTGGCTTGGGAGGCTCCTCTCAACTGGGACCCTCGGGTCCTTAAGTGGGACCCATACCATCACGTTTTGATCAAGAGTTTGCGCGGCATAGTGAGTTCTTTTGCGTCTCCGTTTTTTTTTTTGTTTCTCTCTCTTTTACCCATTCCCAAATTGGTTTACATAAACCAAAAATGATTTTGGGAGAGAAGGTACTAAGATAATGTTCCCTCTAGAGGGGAATCACT